AAAATACTGTATAATACTATAAAATGCTATGTAATATTACTATACAATAATAAAATATAAGATACTAAAAAAATATAAGAAAATGCAAAATATAAAAAATCAATTTCAGTCTATAAAGAGAATCAGTATAATATAAATTTATTAAATTGAAAAGTATGAAAATGTATCAGTTAATTATGAATATCTATGAGATATTAGTTATTTAAAATTAATTCTTCTCTTTGTTTTTTTGTTAGTCGTCTGCAATGAGCCGAACTACTTGCTGTTTCACAAATGTCTGAAAATTTGTTAGAGACGATACATTACTGAAATTTCATTGTTGAAATTCCAAATAGTTCCGACTCGATACACAATCTTCATTATGATATATGTTTCGTGGTACAGAGCTCATTGTACTAAAATAAATAATAAAGATAAATAAAAAATGTACCATATTTTTCATATTCTAAAGCCTATATATCAAATAAGTTATTACGCACGGCATTTCCTGTGCAGTTTCGTCCAAAAATTGCATTCTTGAATAGAAGCGAAAAGTACTTTTCTGCGGATGTCCCGCTTCCGCACCTGATCCGCTGCGTACATAACCTTTCATTTTTTTTTGCGGACTTTTGAATAACAGTCCCTCAGATACGATCATCGAGATTTCATCCATGCTACGTCCTTAAAACCTAAAAATCCCTAGAATTGTTCAAATTCAGCTTATAAAAATATTAAAGTAAATCAACCCATTTGCGAATGCAGATTAAGGCCCATATTCAGAATGTGCTTCTAAAGATGTTAGTGCGCGTTTTTGTTATTCTATTCTTATTTTTCATTTAACCGTCTAATGAATGATGAAGATAGAATGATAAAAATATGCTCTAAAATTTTTAAAAGCGCGTTCTGAATATAGGCATAAATATACATTTATGAGTATCTACATAAAATGAAGTAAAATAATTTTATATTATCAAGACTGTTAAAGACTTCATCCTATAACTCTTGTCGTACATAAGGACTTTTGAACTGGCAATTTTTGATTCCATAGACCTGGTCTCTGCTCTATTGCATCAATGAGCATCTCATCCATGATGTCTGAATATGGAGTAGAATTATTACTATTCTCTGATGATGGTGCATCCCTCTGTGTACTTTCTTCTACTTCCTTCATTCCTGTTTATACATAAATGAGTATACTTACTGAATATTTTAATATTTGAAAACTAATTTGTAAATATTTTCTTGCAAATTAAATTACTCATTGTACCACAGCCTTTCTCGTCGACAACGAGACTATGGATAAATTTTTATTATTGGAAAAATTTGCTTTCATAGCTTTTGAAGCAGTTATGGGCTTGAATCTCTGCACAGGATCCATACATTATCCACCCACAATAATCGCGTTTTATAGCCTACAAATATGAACACATGTAACATGAATTACATAATATTTGATGTTGTCCGTATTGAAAAAAATTCATATGCTAAAAACTATACGGAGAAAACCATATAGAAAAATGATATGGTAAAATTACATCGTGAAAAAATCCATATAATACGTTCAGATGTCAAATAATATAGAATAAAGTGTTGCTACCTCGTCGTTTCCACATAATCTTCCAGATTTTTTTTCAATAGAGGTATTTTTTAGTTATTCAACTACAAGAAGAAGGTCACAATTAAAGCTATCTTCGTTTTCAGTGATTAGAAGACAAAGATAGCCTTAGCCGCTAAATTGATTATTTTTATTGGATGGATTACATGGTATCTTTTATTGCGGATTTAGATTAAAGGTACACGAAAAAATATGAAACTTTTATATCAAGCACATTGGATGTTGAATTTGTCTACCTTTATTGTAATCAAATAGAATAATACCTTTATTAGCAATTCGCTTAGCTAAGCGAAAAAAAATATGATGTGAATGAGGAATGCGATTCGGGTATCATTCTCGTCATAATCTTTCAGTTGCTCTAAATTGACCTCCACATTCACCTAAAATCAGTATCATATCCAAAACTTCTACGTATGAATACGACATGGCTGATCAATAAGAATTGATTCGCGTCCATGAATTGGCATCTAATTATTAGAAATTCGACATAAGAAAGAGAATCTTTCTCGTGTAGTAAACATAATGAAGATATTACTCTACCTGATTACAATAGAGGTAGACAAATTTGACGCCCAATTAGGGCCTAAAGGGCGCCAGAAATTCTTGCAATTGCATCTCCATGATTCATTAAGGTGTATGGAAAAAGAATCTGGTATCAGTGCTAGTACAATCTCGCGGATTTTCAAATAAAACAAGTTACATCCGTACAAAATGACACTTCACCAAGAACGAATACCGATGTTAGACGCAGACTCGAATTTTGCAATTGGATATGTCAACAATCGCAAAACTTTCATTACAAAATTTTATTTTCTAATGAAAGCACTTTTAAAAGTGATGGTTCTATAAATAATCATAATTATCGTTATTGGGCACAAGAAAATCCTCATTAGTTCCGAGAAACTGACCATCGTGTTTGGAAAGTTAATGTTTGGTGTGGAATTATTGATAGACATATCATTGGACCGTTTTTCTTTGAAGAAAACCTCAGCGGTGTTCGATATACCAATTTTATTGAAAACGATCTTCAGCTCTTGCTTGAAAATACTCTTACAATTGTCAAATTATGTGGTTTCAGCAAAACGGATGCTTAGCGCATACATCTAGAATTGCCCGTGACCGATTAAACGATATGTTTAGAGACAAATGGATAGGCAAATATGGCCTACATCAGTGGCCACCACGATCACCGGATCTCACTGTTTTCGATTATTATTTATGGGGAAGAATAAAAGATCTGATATACCGTGAACGTCCTACGATAAAAGAAGATATGATTCGAAGAATATGCAAGGCAATTCGTTCTCTAGATGCTGATAAAATTTTTCATGCAACAAGTCATTTCCAGACAAAAGTACTTGCTTGCGTCGAAGTAAACGGTAGCCACTTTGAACATTAATTAATCTGAACACATCCGATTGTAGGTACACACACACACACACACACACACGCGCGCGCGCGCGCGCACGCACACGCAC